TAAAAAATGTTTGTAGAATAATTCAGCCGAAGATTCATGTCCTCGGCCATGGTCTTATGTAGATCGAAGGTCTTATGAAATTTTATGGCGTATTATTTATTGGACATCACAGTTTCTTACTTGGTAACAAAAAAGAATAGAAATAAAAATCAACTGTTATTTTTGTGTGAATTTTTACTTTAGGCTTGTTTTACCATTTATGCAATCAATCTGTCAAACAGGTTAGTTCACTTTTTGTTTCATGTTATATGTATTTTTGTTTAATTTATTTGGCAAATTTTGTTTTTTAGGTGAATTTTATTTAAAAGGAAAGATTCGATATGCTTTGAGATCAAATTTAATTTATTATGGAACACTTTTACTTATATTTGGTATTCTTGTTATTTATGTCGCAATTAATTATAATTTAAATGCATCAAATTTCAAGGTAAATAATTGATGAAGGATCTTATATTTATTAATTTCGATTTGAATACTCTTAAGACAACTCTTGCTAGGTTTGCTTGGATATTATTCATTACTTTTCTTTTTGAACAAATATTAAATACATCTATTATGATTTATTTATTAGATTAAGGATAGACATGTCAAACGTATTAGTTTAAAAGAAATTGTAGAATTAAAGAAAGAACAGAGATGATTCACTAAAATTTTCTTAAGTAATAATTAATATTACTTAAAATCAAAAAATACATGTTTTTCTCTTACTTACATCATGATACTCTGACAGATTACTTAAATCTAGCATCAGTTGTCAAAACGAAATAGAAATCGTGCTAAAAAGTCCTAACTGTAAAGTTTACATTTGATTAAAAATTTCATGTAAACTTTGATACCAATAATGAATTTCTATCCAAAGCAATCTAACGAACATTTTAAGTTTCAGTGACATTGTTGAAGGGAGACATAATAAACGAGCAATTAGGTTATGAGTTAGTCAGATGAATCATTTCGTGACTTAAATACCTCTTGATAGTAGGATATTGAATCTAACAGTAAAGGAATTAATTCAGTGATAAGATCATCGATCGATAATATGTTTCATCTTCAATCTTTTCAATGAAAGACTTTCATAGTCATGTTTGACTTTTGTTGATTTTATCGTATGTAATGAGAACTAGTAAAATCTAATAATAAAAAAATCTATTATATAGGTGACTGTTATCGCAGCAAGTACTACTTGGGGCCTTTTTCTTCTTGTATTAATGCTTGGTTATGGTCTTGTTCAAGTACCATTAAATGTTTATAATCATTCTCGAACATCTTATACACTTTCTCATGTTCAATTTAAATTATCTCAACTTTATAATGAAAAAATTGATGTTGAAGAACGTTTAGAATCTCTTGTTGAAGAAGTATCAAAATTATGTCTTGAAATAAAATATAATGATCCATTACGACCATGTTTAGAACAAATTGTTAAAATAATTCCTGAACAATATTCTAATCGAGTTAAATTAACCATGGATGATTATGAAGATTATAGAAATACAACAACAAATAATTTAACAACAGAAAAAACATTAATTAGATTACATCGACTTTTAAAAAAAAATAAACATATTCATCATCGAGTACAAGCTTCATGGATACATCTGATTAATGAAGCTTTTTATTTAGAAGATATTTTAAATAATGAAAATAATACGAATCATACATTTGTTAAACAAAGTCCATTATCAAGATCATGGTTAAGACAAAAATTATTTGATGAACATCCAGTACTAGGTAAAAATAAAAAAAGTTCTTGAAATAATCATCATCTTTCATCAGATATTTTCGATTTTGAATTGGATCAAAAAGAGAATAGAAAAAAATAACATAACAAAGAAAAGATATTACATTAAAATAAATAAATAAGATCGAGTCTTTATATCTCCATGTATAACATCGATGATGAAATTAGAGATATAATAATACCAGTACAATTTTATATCCTTATTAACGGCTCTGGCGAATCGGTTTACTACAATAACAACCTTTTTTTCGCCAAAATATTTTTTTTCACCTGTCGAATTGTAGATAACATCACATTATGTATCAAAAAGCTATTTTTCACTAATTTCAAACGATTTGATATAACTGAAGATCATAATCCATACTTTTACTATAATTTCTGTGGTTGTGAGTATTATCGAAGAGAAGACTAATACCCACACGCATGCTCTCAATATTGATCATCTAAAATAGACATAAAGCCTCATTGATGTAGATTATTGAAAAGTAACAAATTGTTGTCACTTAAAAGTTTCGCGTGTTATAACGAGCTCTATGGCTGTTTCAAAACAGTGAAAAATAATTTTTTTTGTACACAATTCGACATGCCCTACATTTTGGACAGATCGAAAAACTATTTAGACGTAAACAGATTTCCCAGAGCCTCGGATCTCTGAAGGTTTAATGACATGAAAGATACTGATATTCGAATTCAGCGTGGTTGATTGTCTATTGTCCACTAGACTTCTGATTAACGGCGATTAGTGACTTAAATATGTTCCCTGATAAGATGCGTCGTCTAAGAAATGTGACGAGTAGTGTTCGTCGAGTTCAAAATTTTTTGACTCGAACCCGACGAGATCTATTTTGGACTAAAAACTTTATTTAGTTATTTGAATTTTCTAATCTACTACATTGTATTCAAATATATTCTTTTAAAGAAAACTAAATATTGTATTTAATATTTAAAAAATTTTCTCGATTTCCTTTTAGAATGGTACACATTTTGTGTTATACGTCCATGGGTTCTTCGTATCCTTGGTATAAGTTTAGGTTGTATATCAATAATAGTTATCTGGTGTGAGATGACATTCTTCAGTACGAAACCCGTTTTATCCATATTTGCTCAGTGTATTAATACAGCTCGACGTCATTATGATTATTTTACAATTGAAGTAAGATTAAATAATAAAAACCAAATTTATTTCTATTTAAATTAACAATAAAAAAAATGATTTGCATAGATACTTTGTTGTTTAAGCATTGCTTATTTATGTTTATGTGCATATTATACAATATTTCGCATACGTATATTTAATTATTTTTATTTATCACTTTATCATTTAACTGATGAAAATAGTTTAATTTTTGCTGCTACATTTTTATGTCGTTTAACAGCACCACTTAGTTATAACTTTCTTGGTTTAATACATATGGATCAAACGATTATAGCACGAACTCATCGAACAGAAACTGTTTTTACAAAGGTAAATGAAATAAATTAATAAAATAAAAAAAAATTATTATTTTTTTTTTTTGAAAAAAATTTAGATAATGGGTGGTATGAATGTCATTCCAATAATTTCCAAAGGTTTTAATTTTTATTTTCCAATGTTAATATGTATATTATGTGTTGGAACATATTTTCGACTTGGTTCACGATGTTTACATATATTTGGTATTCAACAATTTTTTGATGATGATGATATATCAGCTGAATATGTTGAAGATGGAAAAAGTTTAATGAGAAAAGGTTAAAATTTATCTTTGTTATTGTTGTTGTTGTTTTTTTTATTTTCAAATAAAAAAAAATTTAGAACGAAGAAATTATGGTGGAAATGAAACATTATCAACAATGGCCAATACAACAACACCTACTCAACGACGTGATAGACGAAGAGAATTAGAAGAAAAATATGGACTTCGATCAACAACAACTACTATGCGAACATCAATATCACGAGATGATTATGTTCAGGATCTTCAATCAGGTGAGAATTTCTTTTTCAAGACTATTGTTTATGATAGTTTTTTGTGTTTTTATTATAGAAACTCGTCAATTAAGACCGTCATCTAATTCAGATGAACCATTGATAACTCTTAATAATAATCAAACAGTCCCGTCGAGTACGACAATATTATCAGGTAAAGAATTCTCAAGAGAAATAACAATACATGTTTCTTAAAAAATATTTTTATCATAGTAGAAATTATTCGAAGGCAGTAAATAAGCTTTTTTTTTTATATAACTAAACCAATGATCAATAATTATGTTTTGTATCACTATTAAATTCTTAGATTTCATAGATTTTAATAAATATTTATGATTAAACTATGATTTGAAAGATATTCAATTTTTCAATTATATTAAAAGTTTCTATAGAATTTTGTCTCAACTAAGAATTTGTATGTAAGATGTCAAGTAAACCTATCGTAATTTATTTCAAAGTTTTCTTTCTAAACATGTATGCATCGAAAGTTATCATTTAATGTTTCAATGATCTCAAGAATGAAAAATTAGAAAACGTATGTTCGAGTAGACATGATACTATCAATATAGAATCAATAACGTCTACTTTTTTTAATCTTTTATATAAACTAAAAAGAAAATGATTTGAAAAGTTAAACGTCAAAATATTTTTCGAGTTGAAAAATAATTAAAATAAAAAATTGAAAAGAGACACATTTGTCAAAACATTATTTTCGGTCTAGTCAAACATTTGTTTCTAGTTAATCAGCATTAAACTACACAGGAAATTTCAATAAAACGTGTTATTGTTGCTTAGATAATCGAAAAACGAAGGAACTGATGTATAAGCTTTCTAATGATGAATCTTGTTAGATTTATTTTCTTTATCGTAATTGATTGTAGATATTGATCAGCTAGTGTTTTCATCAACAGAACAACAGTGAACTTCATAAGATTTCATTATTCACGAAGTATCATCTCTTCCTTTGTATTTAATATGAACTTTTAAACTTTGAATTTCATGAGTAAATGAATTACATCGGATAATAGATGTTTTTTTTTATAACTTTAGGATCTTCTCGTCGAATTGCTCCACCTACAGACATATTCAATGATGTTTAAAATAACTTATTTATTGTCATTGTATAATTTATGATCTCATATAACTATTTTAATTGTTTATAGATGTTGTATTTCCATTGATATTGTCTAATCAGTCATTAACGAATTTTCTTTTATTTCACATTTACTGTTAATCATTTTTGTCACGAAAGAAAATTGTTTTATTTATTTCATGTTGTATTTGTCATTTAAGATGAATGATCAAGAAGGTAATCAAACAAATAATAATATAAATGAATTACGTGCTGATGTTGCTGCAACAACAGACGTTTTGAAAGTAACAGTTGAAAAATTAGTTCAACGTGGAGATAATCTAGATGCATTAAATAATCGAGCTGAAACATTAAATTCAACATCATATCATTTTCGTGGTGCAGCAAGACGAGTAAATCGACGTATGAGATGGCAAAATTATAAATTAACTATTTTTATGAGTAAATTTTTATTTGAAATTTAGAACAAATATATATATATATACTTATATATTCTAGTTTTTGTTGTACTCTGTATAATTGGTTTTATTATACTGATGGCTCTTCATCCATGGAAAAAATGATCAAATGATAAGAATGATTTTGTAAATAAGAAGATTGATCTAATGGGATTGTGAACTAGTTTTTAACTCTGATTTTTCTATGATCTATTATATATATATATTAAAGCTTTTGGTTTTTGCAAATACATATTTAAAAAAGTAAAAGAATTTTTATTAAGATTGGTAGAATATAATAAATGATGATGGAATGGAATAAATTATATTGAGAATGTTTTCATTTTCTAGAAAAGAAAAAAGAAAGATTTCGATTTTTTTTAGTTAAATTAAACTTTTATGTGGAGCTGGCTGATGCCTGTTTGATGATGTATATGGACGTGCTCAATGATAGGATACTCCAATTCTTATTTGTTTATGTAGCTTCAGTTAATTATCAGAAAAATGTGAGTTTTTTTACCAATTATAGTACACATATGATGCTAATGAACTGTTATTGTTTGAGCTCTATATCTCATTAAAACCAAGATTTATTAAGTGTTTCTTTATAATCATTTTGTCAAAGTACTACGCATCTAGTGTTGAAATTTTTAAAGAAAACAGCTGAAAAAAAAACCTTATAACTTTTGAACGAAAAATCGTAGCGACCTATGCTTTTCACTATTTAATAGAGGACAGTATCAGAGCACAAGCCTATGTATGGGAGATGTTTTCCCGAAGTATTTTACCAGGCTAATTTTAACAGACGAAGTCAAAACTAGCGAAAAGAATATTTAAAAAAAATTCTAGGAAATTCGTTAAGTTTTCTCTAATTTCACCTGCTAAGATTAGCCTGGAAAAGTACTTTGGGAAAACATCTCCCATACATAGGCTTGTGCCCTGATACTGTCCTTTATTGAATAATGAAAACCACAGGTCGCTACCATATTTCGTTCAAAAGTTATAAGGTCTTTTTTAGCTGTTTTTTTTAAAAATTTCAACACTAAATGCGTAGTACTTTGACAAAATGATTATAAAGAAACACCTAATAAATCTTGGATTTAGTGAGATATAGAGCTCAAACAATAACAGTTCATTAGCATCATACGTGTACTACAATTGGTAAAAGAATCACATTTTTCTGATAATTAACTGAAGCTACATAAACAGATAAGAATTGGAGTATCCTATCATTGAGCACGCCCATATATTTGTAATAAAAAAGATTTTTTCTGATGTTGAATATAATCAAGACTAAAAATAAACGAGTTTTTTTTATTTAAAAAAATCTTTTTTAGGCATACTTATGAGTATGTTCATCAAATATGTCAACTGTAGTACAAATTGTATTGGATAAAACTTGTTGATTCCGTTTAATGATTATTGTTGTTGACAATGAACTCATAGAATTCCTATGATTTATATTTCTATTATTGCTAATTTGCTTTCTTTTCCTTTGTTGCTTTGATCGTAAACATTGTTCTTCTAAAAAACTTAACGGCAATGAAGATAAACATCTCAATGATCTACTGCTAGATAAATAAGAATTGTTACGATTTGTTTCTAACAGTCATTTGATAGTTCGATCATGTTGATAGTTTTCAATAGATAATAATTTATTATTTTGCATTAATACGAAATGAATATTGAATACATTACTGAAATAAAAATATGGCGCTTAAAATATATTATTCTCTTCAGAATACGTATGAGATTCACTAGATTCTATGCGGAAATCTTGTTTAATATATGTAACAGATTTAGATCGACAATTCACAATTACTAACATGATGATTCCATTATATTAATACAATTAATGTCGTTCTATCATTTTTCATAAATTTAGGCATATCATAGTTAGACTGCAAGTTTTGCCTCATTTTTCATAATAACTATTCGTATATTAATAAATCTTCTCATAAGACTGTCTTCATTAAGAACAAATATGGTAACACATGTTTTTCCAAATGATTATAAATGAACGTCTGTGGCTCATGTTGTTGTGAGAAAGACATCAGTCTAGAAATATCTATTTTCTTGAAAAGTCAATTAGCCGTTCAATATTTTAATCATTAGCAATGAAATAGTGAACTAGATGTGACTCAAGCCATGATATTCACATTGCGAGATCATTTCAGAATTCTTTTTACGATGAATTCGATATCTAATACATTTATTGGATATAACTACTGATATGCATTTATTCTGTCCTTTGAAAGAAAAGAATCGTGTAGCTAGAAAATCATTGACAATATCTATGAATGACACTCTTATGAAATTTCTTTTCTTTTGTGTCGAGAACACAGTTATCGATTGTTTTTGGGAATGAGAAGGGGGAGAGTTAAACAAATTTTAACAGAAATTCTTTAATTTTCTCGCTGAAAGTCGATTTTTTGCAAAAAACGTGTGAGTCCACTAAAAGTCAGAAGTTCTTTGTTAGTGGCAAAGACTAGTATTCATGACTCATTCAATACAAAAGTTTTTTAAACTAAAATTATTTCGAACCAGAAACACACAAATGTTTTAATAATTAGTCTTCATCACTGTTTCGGATGCATACCTGAATATATGTCATTTAAGAACGGATGACGACACATAACAGCAGAAATGAAATCGACTTTTTGCAAGAAATTTCACAGAAACAACATCGAATTTCTGTAGGAATTTGGAAGAGACAACATGAACTTTGTTCGAAAAGAGTTTTCTTTTGAAATGAAGTTTGAAAATTTCGCAGAAAGTCTGAAACTTTTGGAGGAGAAGCCCTTTCTGCTCCCTCGCCGAATCAGGAACCTTGGTTCACATGCCAGTTTATAGAGCAAAATCTACCCTAGCAGAAGTACTATTTAAATTCTCTTTTGTCTTCTGATGAAGTAGTTAAGGTATTGTTTTCGTTGCTCAAAGTGAGGGTAGGTGTTACCAGAGAGAAGACTCACGTACAGACTCAAATTTATCCTGATAGCTTCATTAGGATAAAAATTACAGTTCAAGTCAATATCATATTTTTTGTAAAGAAAAGTTTGTTGTGAAAAATTCCTAAATTCAATAGTTTTCAGCACCTTTACAAAAGAAATTATTGGATTAGTGAAATTCGATTTGTTCGTCATCTCAACTAATTTCTCAAGATTTTGTAAGATTTGTTCACTGTTCTTGACCAAAGGTAGGCGCTGTCAAAGTAAAAACTATCGTTGTATATTTGGCGCGCATATGTTTTATGTCTAGTGAAAATAATACTGCTACGATTCAACTTATTGTTCGTAATGAGTCTTTTGAACTATCTTCTTCTCTATTTCGTCAATTTCTCGAATATTCATCATCTGCTGATTTCAGCGATTCTAAACGAGATGAACACCATCGCATTTATTTAAATGTTGATCCATGTATTTTTAATGCTTATCTTCTTTATATTCAATCAGGTTGTTTTGTTCGACCTGATCATTTATCTCAAAAAGACTTAATTAATGGTTTACGTATATGTGGTGCACCTATCACTTTAATTAATCATTATGAATGTTATGATATAACATCGATTCTATCTTCGCATGAATATTCATCTCATTCAATTCATACGGAAAAAAGTATTCGACATAAATGGTTCGATGCATTAATTCTAGTCGGACTTTTTATTGCCGGATATTGTTTAACTATTGATTTATATCGACAAATCTTAGTATTAAACAAAAATTCTTATGAAGAAAGATCTCCATTGTTAATTATTATGATATATTTCATTGATGGTATTTTATTTCTCTATTCATGTGTGCATGCAATATCAAAATTTATTTCAAGTATTGGTGAAGAAAAATCATTAGAAAAAGATCCATATCTCATAACTAATATTATCTCGTGTTTGGGTAAATAATTCAATTGAAATATAAACATATTAATGAAAAAATCTTTTTAGGTATTTTATCTTATTTTACTATTCAACGTCCAATTACTAATGTTTATTTATCCCAAGGAAATTTACTTTGGATTTTTATTCATATTTGTCGCACTATTCGTATAGCACAATTAGGTTGTCGTTTAATCGATATTCAATGGTGTTTAAATGCTATTAGTCAATGTTGCTGGACATTTTTACAAACAATTACAGGACTTTTTTGGATATTTATTTTTTCAGGTTCTATGTTATACACAATGGATATGATAGAAAATAATCAACAATATTCAAGTAATCGTCTAACAATTCTTTCAGCACATGAAACTTTATATACAATTGGATATCGAAATAATGCACCATATGGACGTTTGACACGTTTATGGACATTAATAAGTATTTATTTAATGTCATCAATTATACAAATACTTTTATGGTGGTTTCAAACAAAAGTTACTATTCAATGGAAAATCTTATTAGATCATGAAAAACAAAAATCAATATGATAAATTAACATATATAAATAAACTATTTTCTTCGTCAAATACTTCAAAATCTTGATAAATATCATCTCTCTAGTTTAAATATTTAAGACATATTTTCTATAAAATATATTTAACTTATTTGAATAATAGTCATTAAAGATGCACGTTACTTTTTAATGTTATCAAAATGTAGTATTATTGATAAACATTATGAAAATTCAAATTCATAATATTCAATTAATTTATCACTTTCAAAACTTTATGTAATGAATTATATGTTGAAATAATCCGAATGTATTTTAAAAAATAAAACAAACTTTTAAAGCTTAATACAATAAATGATAACTGGTTGTGAGAGCTCTATTGAGTTACATAATCATCAACTTACTTTATCATTTTGCATCGATTCAAATCATACTCGAAAGTACTATATAATTGACTATTGTTTTTATACTATCTCCTACTTGAGTTTCCTAAGTCACAAACATCAATCGTTCAAATCAAAAGAACAAGTTTTATTCTATAATTCAATAAAGTCTTCTTAATTGTAAATCAGCAATATATATATTTTTTTTCAGTTTCTTTTTTATTCAAAACAGTTAACATTTTCCATAGTGAATTCATATTCTTAGTCATTTTTATGTTCATTTCTTTACCATAGACACGCAATTCTTTTGTTCATTTAAAGCAATTACGGAAAGGTGTGCGTGCATATTTGAAATTTAATGCATCTAAGTAGTGTTTGTCGCGTCATCTAAGACGTTAGCATATAGTATTGGTGCTGATAATGATTTGTGCATGTTGACTAATCCATACGGTACCAAATGACAGGAAATAGAAATAGAACAGGAACAAGATTTGTTCATTATGTGAATTGAAAAATACGAGTCATATAGCAGTTCATTTGAAGAACTCTCTTTTTGCTCAGATATAGGTTTTTTTTTCTCTACATGCATGATTGAAGGATGAAGAAGAATTCATTTAGCTACCGTTCCTTTTTTTTTGTGCTTGACAAAACAAAAAAAAAAGCTAGTTCATAACATGCCCTTTCTTTCACTTTCCTTTAACAAACATAGAACGTCTACTTTATTAGATTGCAGCATCGAAAGGTTACCCGTACTTCCTGTCTATAGTCACACTTTCATTTTTCAGTTTTCTCTTTGATAAAGCCCCGTGAGCACAATTATTTTTATATAAAAAAAAAAAGAAAAGAGCGAAGAAGACAAAGCACAACCGTCGCCTATAGTAATACATGGCAGGAAAGAAATGAGCTGTTCGACCGTAAAAACTGACGTCTTTATCTCATCTTCCTATCGACACCTTTTTTTTTCTTTTTTTTTTTTCATTTTGTATACACCCATGTGCATTCTTCACTTTTTTTTCTCTTCATTGTCGTCTTTTCATAGGACACACTAAGAGAAGAAAAAAAAAGTTAAAAGTTGAACTCAAGAAGCAAAGAAAGAATTATATTACAAATGAGAGAAAAAAAATACAAGATGAGGATTATAACGGAAAACACATAGAGACAGAAAAAGAGAATAAGAAGCATAGTACATCATTATTTTTCAATGTGCAATAAATATGTCATAAGTTAAACTATATTACTCGAGTCATAGAAAGTCAATTCTCATGACATTAATTCAAGAATAGTAAGTTGTTTTTCAAAAAAAACATCTCTAACAACGATATCAAATCTTATGTTATAATTTATTTGTAATTCAGTTGTTATGTGTTTGTTCACTTAGTAATATGATCAAATCATCTATATCCTTTCGCAGAAACATTAATTACACTTGAGTACATTGAAATCTCATTCCTTTTGTCTATAGGTGGTCTGCTTTATCTTAATTTTCTTTCTTTCTTTCGTCTTGTTAAACAGAAAAAAAAGTAATGTTTGAAAAAAAAAATTCACTCCTCCGCACACATGTTGTCGCTAAGCACACGTAAACGAGAATAGCTGTTGTGAAAGATAAATTGACTGACTGGCTACGAAGGAACACAAGCAGAACGGAAGAAACTTCTTTTTATTTCTTTTTTTTTTGACTACGTCTCACACAACACATTTGATTTCAAAGTCAAACAAAATTCTATAGTGCAGTGGAATGTGTATGTGAAGTCTTGACAACACAACACCATCTTGATTATATTCTCATTATAATGATGGATATTCAACAGGTGAGAAGAAAACTAAACGTGGTACCATTATGACTATTTTAGATAGATAAACAAAATCTTATTAATACGAAATGACAATCAACTTAGATTTATTCTTAAAAAGTCTCGATGAGATCCATTGATTTTACATGCATGTGAACAGAAAATTTCTTTGTCTTAAAATAACAATAGAAAAGAAAACAAGAAGAGATTCCTTCTTTTTATAATGGACTAGTATTGTTTCATCTCGAATTGACTAATGGAAAGTGGATCCTTCTTTCTCATCTAGTGCTGCTCTTTCAAGTACCTAAAAGAGAAAATGAAATCTTAGAGGCAATTTCTATTGTCTTCTTTGAGAGTGTAAACAAAAGTCTTCGCTTTTTTAACATGAAAAGATACATAAAGAATGAGAGAAAGGTGTTATTCTTTCACAGAACGAACGTTATGGTAATTAGAATGAAAAAATCATATAAGAACAGTTGTTTATTTTAATTAACTCACCTGTTCAACATCATCTATCATTAATCGATTCATTGTCAAAGAAATGCTTCAATTAGTATCGCTGAAATGATTTTTAAATAAGATAATGAACATCATCTTGTTTTATTACTCTATCTCATCATTTTTTTTTCTTCGACTGACCCACCTACATACGTATTATTTCTCTGAAAGATAAAGGTGCTTTTTTTGATGTTGTCAAGTGAACTGGCGAGAAGATAACACACAAGTGGCATCTTGTCATCATGATCATATATCTAGGGATTTATACATATATATATATACGATAAAGTGTGTCTATCAAGTACTCGAGTTATTTTATTTCATTTTTTTTAGAATTGTTGGCATGTGTATCGCCTTTATTGATCGTCATGTTAATAATGGCGACAATAACTCATCGAGAAATGAAACGATGTTATATTGATGATAAAATTACTTTTCCTATTTCAAAAAGTATCAAACGTTTACGAGATTATGATGAACAAAAACAATTAATTAAATGTGATCGATCATTAGAACATCGAAAAAAAATTCAAAGAATAAATGAAAAAGAAGAAGAACAACAACAACAATATCATTGTCAAGTTTATCTAAAATTATTTCCGTCAACATTAAAATGTTCACTTGATGTTATTGTTAAATCTATAAATAAACAAACGAATGATATTGATGATAGTGATTCAATTTTAATAGCAAAAAGTCGAATACCAAAAGCAATTAAACCAGGTTTTATTCAAATTTTATCATTATGATTTAAAATTAGAAAAAAAAACAAATTTTTTTTTTCTTTTATTTTTTTATTTTCAAAGGTGTTATTCGTGTTCGTCTTGTTTCATCTTTATTTAGTGCCGATATTGATGTACATGAAGATCCATTTCTTACTAAACTTGAAACAATCAAAAATCAACCTTATCATAATCATTTCGACAAACAATTTGCTCTTATATTAAAAGTAAATTTTATTTTATTATGAATAAAATCAAAATACTTTTTTTCTTTTTTTTTTAATAATTAATTAGAATAGTTACATTGGTCCGGGTGCTATTGGAAAATTATTTATTGAATCATTAGATCCATCGAATGGATCATATACAAATAATCCACCTATATTCGAACTCAATCTCAACTTGGCATCACAGTATGAAATTCTATTGACTTCGTCACATAGGGTAGGTATTCACTGTATGTTTAATGAACTTGAAATGAGCAATCAGACTTTTGTATTGTTCTTTCTCAGATTGATATGAGAAACCGTGTTAAAGAATGATGATCATATGTCAATATATATATATAGAAAGAAAATGAGAAATGAAGCTGTATCAATAATATACATATTGAGAATGAGAGAAAAAAAAACGAAGAAGAAAAAAATATGTGTTATTTGCATAATTTATTGCTAAAGAAGTCAAACTGTCGACTTTAGGTAGTAATAGAAGAAAGCAAAAAGAAACAACGAAACGATAAGATTATACTAGATGATGCATGTATATAACTGAAACAATGATTGGATCAGTTCAAAAGTGTTGAAATATAATAAAAATGATTTTGTTATATATTTTATCAAAAGAAATTCAAATGTCATTTTGAAGAGTTATTTTTTTATCTGTTTACATAAGAATATTTAATCTATTGAACCGGAAAAAACAATATTGCCTTAAGGAATAAATACATTATTTAATTCTCTTTTAGAAAAGTGACAATAATTTAATATGTTCTTCTTTACAATGCGGTTGTATTCTTTCTTCGGATCAATCTCGTTTAACTATTAGTGACAAATGCAATGTAAGAATGATTAATTAATTTTTTTTACTTTTATATATATGTGTTTATTTTTAGTTGAAATTAAGTGATATGAAACTTATTCATCGTCTAGCTGAACCTCTTCGTTGTTTATGGAAATCTATTGGTCGTGAATTATCTCCTTGTTTTTCTGAAATGGATCTATATGAGTTCAATCAAAGATATTTTTTTTCGGAAGGAAATCAAGAATGCACTTATCAATTATTACGAGAATGGTACGTACGTGATCCTCATCAAGCAAATATTCGTTATTTATTAACTCGATTACAACTTCCTATTCATATTGTTATGACAATTCACAATGATATTGTGAGAACATTTTCTTCATCTTAAAAAATAAAAAAATAAAATAAAGAATTCTTATGAGCATACTTCATACATTACATTCCGTTCAGTCTTTGTACAGTGTTTTAAGTCTTTTTGTAGTGTGAGGCGTTTGAACTGTTCTTTTTTTTTCTTTTTTTTAATGTATGCGTGTGTGAGTTTTTGAATGTTTTCCTTGTCGCTAGCCGTCCAAAGGTGCCAGCCGATTGTAACAAAGAAAAAAAGTGACTATATGATCATTTTTT